CAGACAGACAGAGACAGACAGAGACAGACAGAGATAGATAGATAGATAGATAGATAGACAGACAGACAGACAGACTTCCCAATTTTATTCCTTTGGGTGTTTCACAAGACGTTCAACAGTTTCATTTTCACAAGCAAAGACCTGAGAGGGATTTGGAGGAATTCAGTATCATTTTCCAACACTTCTCCTCAGATAAAACATCTGAAAACACTTCAACAGCCTGATCTTGAATAGAAATGAAAAACCTGTCATCATTGACTCACATCTCGTATGTCGAGTATGAATGTTTTTCTTCCGTCCTTTTCATGTAATGAAAGTGAATGCGGACTTCAAAATGACCAAAAAAATCTCTATAAAACATCATATCAGTCTATAAGGCTCACAGACTGAAATCTGTTTGTTATGACATTTTAACTAATTTAAAGTTCATTAACTAGATCTATTTCACATGATCTGCGTGGCTTATGCATTAATGTAATGCTACGTATGTTTTTGACTTAGATGAAGCATCTTGTTACAGTAAATAATATCAGGGGATTTTGTTTATAAGGCTCAAGGTGACAAAATAACAAATCGTGTCATTTCAATAGCACTGAAAGGTGCTCACGTAACACTATATGGAAAGTTTTGGTTGATCCTCTTCCTGCTGCCTGCTGGTATCAGATCAATTGAATGGCATCATCACAGTATGAATGAGATGTTCTGGGTTTCCCATTTTTATCCGGGGGACTCGTTCAGATCAGATTTACTGTACATATATGATGGAATTTCCTCCAGGAACCTGTGGCGCCACACTCTGATTTCAAGGATGTAATTTTTTATATTTTTTATTGTGATTTTCTCTTTTCCTTCATGGAAACACACCTGATATGATGAAGATTCCCATGTCTAGTAGGTTTTTTTTTAGGCTAGAGTCGTTTGGTGGGATCATGTTACTTACCAGTAGATTACAGAGTGACACGGGAAAACACACACACACACAAAATAGTATATTTTATATATTTAAATATATATTATAGTTATTGAATGCTCCCAGACTTTTGAATCCCTCTGTGCTTTTCATGGCATGAAGTCACAATCTAACATATGTTGCAATCTTTGGTTTCAGCAGCATCCAGTGAAGTCAATCGGTTTGAGAAACTAAGCGAGAGGTTTTGGTGTCTGATTCTCAGTGATGCGATGAGAATACAAAAAGGAAGTTCTATATATCACACTGATGCGATGACGAAGATTTACTGTTAAGAATGTAGAGTAACTCCCTCTTCAAAAAGACAGAATGACAAACGCTGTATCCATAAACTGAATGACTGCTGCATGTGTGATTTTAGTCATGGTGAAGATGTTTGAGGTTTGACTCTGTCATTTGATCCTGTTGATGAAGCAGTTTGCTTTTCATGGTAACTGATCATCATTTGTCTCTACCTGTTTTCAGTCAACTCAGTGTTTATTTGACTCATTCTTTCATCGGTTTCTTGAGAGTGGTTTCACATAATGTTGACCACTAGATGAGGTGCTTTAAATGAAAAAGTGCTTTCGTGGCAGATTCTGAGGAACAGTCAAACCGTCGGATAAGTATACTTTAGCAGGCAACAAAAGATACAGATTAAGTGGAAAATCAAAAACAAGAACATTACATTTGACATTTATTTGTTTACCAGACTAACCAGTCTTGGAAATGAGGAAAAACAGAAGTAATTTATCCTAAAGGAGCCAACAATATTAACAGTGCCACAAAACATTTGAAGAACAAGTGAAACTGCAGAATAGAAGAGGAAAAGGAGAAAGTGTTTTTTTTTATTATGTATATCATTATTTTGTAATAAAAGTACCTTTATTTGAAAATATTTTGTGTTAAATGGATAGTTGACCCAAAAATGAAACTTCTATCATCATTTACTCCACCCTCATGCCATTCCAAACCTTTCTTTTGTGAAACAAAACATATTTTAAAGAACACTGAGGCCCAAACAATATCTCCCAAAAATATATTTTTGTGTTCTGCAGAAGAAAATAAACTCAGGTTTGTAGCATGAAGGTGAGTAAATGGTGACAGAACTTTCATTAGGGTGAACTACCCCTTTAAATATGCAGCGTGTTAATGTAATACAACTCATTCTCACTAGAAGGTGCTGTTAGACCATTACTTCAGATGTAAAGCAAATATGGCATTGTGTGTAGTTTTGTTTTGTGTTGATGTAATATGGCGTATTGGCCAATAACATTGTTTCTGACCTGAATCATGTGTCAGTCCTGGGGGCACATTCGTTGACTGTGCGTTTGACTCCGAGTTTATTCGAATATTACAACATTATACTTATTTTGATTTGCTTATAGTTGTGAAAATAATGAAATATGAATAAGAATAAAGAAATAATTTCTCAAATATATAAATATATTTTTTATTTCCTTTTTTAAGAATGACAGAGCACAAAAATATAAAATATTTTTTATAGATACCTGGTCTCTGCTATTTCATCTAGAGAGTTCACAGAAATCCTCCATAAAACAAACTTTCAGTTTAATAAAGGGTGAATCTTTCTGGTGAGAAATATCACATTTTTAATGGTAAACCCCCAGATCCACTAGTTTTGGGATTCTCTCTCCCTTCGGCTTCCAACTAATCTTTTAAAATTACATCTTACATTTTCACATAAAGCATATTTATTCATTAATAAGCTATTTTTAAAAGCATGTTTTCCTCTGCTAACATCACTTCCTGCTCAGCTGCCCAGAAACCATATTAACTTTAAACTGTTGTTGTCTCCATGTTTTTGACGTCTGTGAGGTGTTTCACACATGTACTGTAGATGGATTGGATATTTGACCTTTACCACATTTTGAGTTGTCTACTGAATATTGATGAAGTGGAGTAAAATGCTGTTGTTGAATCCTCCAACTGACGTCTGTGGTTTCAGAGTGTGTTTAGGGGTTCATCTTCACTTTCAGTCACTAGGAGTAAACACAAGTGTACATACATATATTAGGAGTTATGTTTTAATTTCAGTTAGAGCTGCACCAGGTACAGTACGATCAGTTTTTCTCATTGAAAATTAACAACGTCCTCAAGTTAAACTGGTATTACTAATGTCAGGAGGCTTGGCAAAACTTATGCTGACCAACATTCTGGATGAATCTCATGATGAATTTTCTGTTAAAAAGGTTACTGTTCATTTTGTATTTTAAAGGAACACTCCACTATTTTTGACAATAGGCTCATTTTCCAGCTCCCCTAGAGTTAAACAGTTGAGTTTAACCGTTTTCGAATCCATTCAGCCGATCTCCGGGTCTGGCGGTAGCACTTTTAGCTTAGCTTAGCATAGATCATTGAATCTGATTAGACCGTTAGCATCTCGCTCAAAAATGACCAAAGAGTTTCTATATTTTTCCTATTTAAAACTGGACTCTTCTGTAGTTACATCGTGTACTAAGACATTTTCAAAAATAGTAGAGTGTTCCTTTACGCTTTATCATGTACCTGCAAAGATGGTGAACATTAAAATAAATAAATAAATAAATAAACGTTCTCTGTGTCAAAACGGAATGAATTCTTACTATTAGGGATCTCAAATTGGCTGCTGTTGCGTCTCACAGGTTTTCCAAACTCAAGTGGTTCACTGTCATGTGAATCTTCATCTTTGCTCTTCCACTCTCCTTTTCTTTCATCTAGAGATCTCTGCTTTCCTTCAGACACTAAGAATATAGTAGAAGCAACAGCAACATTAAGTTATCAATGGGCTGGAAACTATCTCTAAAATCAAATATGAGATGCATGAGACTAATCTATAACCATTGTGCACTTTCCCAAAGAAACTCATTTCAGGTTGCTCCAGAGAAATTGTTGCTGTTATAATAATAATATTTAAAGGAAGATGTAGATGAGTTTATTCTTCATTACATCACTTGCTCACCATTGGATCTTCTGCAGTGAATGGGTTCTGGAGTCATGTGGAGCAACTGGTGAGAAAGTGGTGTTCCTATGGAGAACAAACTCATCTACATCTTGGATGGCCTAAGGGTGAGTACATTTTCAGCATATATTCATTTTTGAGTGAACTATTTATTTAATCTCTATGACATTTGTAACAATGTCAGTAGAGTAATGCGTTTGTAATGAAAGTAAACTAGGCCAGTGTTTTAGACTGAAATGCACAGTCCTCTTCCTGGAGATCTAACTGCAATGTTTAGCTCCAGCCATGACCAAACACAACCAAAGCAGCTCATTAAGATCCTCAGAAGCACTTGATAATTACAGATAGGTGTGTTTGATGAGGGTTGGATTTGAACTCTGGAGGTAGGTAGATCTCCAGGAACCGGATTGAGCAGCCCTGTTTTAGACCTTGTGTATACTTTTGTTGCAAGTGCAGTAAACATGATTTTTCAAATATTTTCTGTAGTAGCTACTGTATGCCACAGATGCTGCCAATAAAGCTTGCTGAACCTGACTGAACCCGTAGCATTCACATTTTGGTGTCAGGTTTACTTGAACAATACTTACACGCAGGAGAAGTTAGATGTAGCATATGCTCTTCTCCACTAAGCAGGATGTATTGCTCTTTATTTGCCGTTCCTCTCTCTTTGGACTCCAGTTCCTTCTCTCTTCTACTCAGATCTTTCTCCAGCCTTAACCTGTCCTCCTCTTCCTTACGTTTTTGTTCCAACGCTCTTTCCTTGAGTTCGAGTTCCTCCAGTTCTCTTTGGAGCTTCTCATTTTCACTCTTTATCTGATGATTAACATAATCATCAGTCAAGGAAGAATACATTTTCTCCAAGGTGCTCACAGTGTCTTTACAATCCGCCAGCTGTTCTTTCAGTGCATTCTCACGTTCAGTAAAATCATCAATGATGGAAGGAAACATGTTTTTCAAGACGGTGTCGCTACATTCTTTGAACAGCAGATCTTCTTGACCTCCTGAAGCCCCTTGCTGGTTCTGCTCCTCACTGTCTTTGTATTTCTTTAACCATATCATAGTGGCCAGCATCAACTGTCTCAAAGTGTCTGTTTCTTTCTTTAAATTACTTTCAGTAAGCCTAAATCTTTCTTCTAAAGCAGTCATCTCTTGTGCATGCTGTTTTTGTATTTCAGCATCTCTTTCCTTTTCCCATGATAAAAATGCTTGTATGAGGTTTTTATATGATGGCTGAATAAAGAATGTGGACTCATTGTTTTGTGTCATAATTTCAGTTTCTGCAAACAGACTTTGAACACTTTGCTCAGTGTCCTCTAATGTATAACACCTATTCACGTATTCCCTGACACTGTCGATCCCTTTCGGTTCAGTTCTTCCAATAATCAATAACACAACATAGTCTAAGGCTTCTTTGCCAAATACTTCAGCGATTGCTTTTAAAAGGTATTTTTCCTCAGTCACTTTCCCGTTTTCAGTAACTAATAGAAATGCATGCGGTCCAGGAAAGACCAGAGATGCACAATCTACCATCTCATCTTTGATAGATTTGACTCTTGAGGAGAAGCAAAGGCATGATGCCACCTGACTCATCCAGGTAGAAGGTGTTTTCACCACAATGACCTTTTTGCCAAATACATGACCTTTTCTGTGCTGTATTTCAGTTCTTCCTGCTCTTTCCCTAAGAATTATGTCACACGCATCATCCATAAGAGCTCCATCGCCGCCAAGCATAATAAATCTAAGCTCTGTAGCGGAGCCAGTACATCCAGTGATTGTGCCATCTGTTAAAAAGAGGTGAAATGTAATCAGATTTCTATGAATTTAGACACAGATATACTCTTAAGACTCAAATATTTAGTATATATTTCATGAACATAATTTTATATTATTTCAAAATGCATGCATTTGCTTTTGTTCACAGCATTTCTTCGAACTAATGTGTAGTCAAAATCATGTTAAAAAAAACTATCACACCGGATTTAATTCTCAGATTGAATTCCAAATTTAATGTTTGTTTTGTAATAGCTTCATAAATGTATATGGATTTAATGGAAAAAAGGACAGTAGTGCAAAGTAACATTAAAGACATTTAGTCATAAAATCTGAAATATTACTTACACTGTGGTGTCTTGCTCTGATGGAAAAAGATGTTAAAACTCATTTTACTAAATGCTATTGTTTTGTTTCTTTACTGAGTGCATAGTAAAATACTAAATTCCTGGAATAACAAAATGCTTACCGTGACTAATGAGTGGACCTGCACAGAAAAAAAAAAAAAATATATATATTAATGCTCTTTATTAGAGTACCAATGAAACTAGTGTGATTTTGTTTTATACTTACGCCTATCTGAATCTTCACTTTGCACTAAAAAAAACACACAATAGCATGTTATTCGTGCCTACACAACAAGAACTAAGCTGCACAGTTTGTAACAAACTCATTTACAGGAATTACTAAATATGCTAAATAGAACCTGCAAAGCATCAAAACCATAAACTAATTTCAACTCTCAGAAATAGAATGCAGATCAATAATATTGATTATTGTTTGATAATATTGAAAGTGTTACCTCGTCTTGGTATCGCCTCCATCTTGTTGTTTGTTTGGTATAATAAGAATGGTGAAGTCCATCAACTGATTATAAGAAGGTTAAAACCGAAACAGTCATGGACACAGACATCATATATTCCAACAAAACAGGATTGGAGTCCAATTCACGATTAATTCAGATAGAAAAATCTGTATAACCCAACTGTATGCAGACAGCAGACCTGTTACCTAAGAACATGTTTACTTGCAAATGAGATGCAGAACGGAAGTGCCAACCACAGAATGAAGAAAAGAAAGGTCTATATCAAGTGAAAGCTGATAACAGAGCTTATGTGGTTGAAGTAGCAAGATTCAAATTTAAATATATATATATATATATATGCATATAAACTTTCAAAAATGTTATTTACATTTCCTCCACAAACATGAGTTGTTAATTTGGCATCTCTGATGTTCAGCTGCTCACAAACCACAGAAGATTTAAACTGACACGTTGTTTTCGCCTGCTTGGAGTCTGTGGTATATTTTACATATGCAGGTGCTTTGAATTTTTGGCCTCTGTCACTTTCAACAGTTGGTCTTCACTGTAAACCTGTAAAATCTTCAAAATGAGATCTGTCATAAGGGTTAATAAACAATGATGAAAATTATGATGAATTTTCATTTTTGAGTGGCCTATCCCTTATTTTATGTCATTTCAGTACCAACATCATCCTTCAGGAAGTGACATCATTTTGGTGGAAAAACCACAACACAAACCTCAGTAAGTTAGCAATGGACTTGTTGATTTCTGTGATGTTTGTGCTATTAGTTGGTTTGTGTCAAAGTATTTACAAATAAATAAATACATAGACATGAAAATACTGCTAAAACTTTAAATTACTTTATTATCTTTCAGCTTTTGCCGAGACAAATGGTCCATTGTAACATCAAAATCAAGAAAACATCAGAAACAAAACACTGCAACAAATACTTTACAGTTCTACAGAATTATAGAGACATTTCTATTGAATTGTTTGATAAATAAATAAATAAATAAAACCAGAATAGATGCAAATAAATAAATAATTTAAAATAAAACATTAATACCAGAATAGATGCAATGGATTTAAGAAAACTATGATTTCATATTCATTATATAGGCTACGTGAACTGTACTGTAAATCCACCACTTTAGACTGAACTTGTGAAAATGACGATTTCACCTACTTTTACATGACTATATTTATGTCATGACAACACTCGGAGGGATTGGCATGGTAATGTACATGACAATGTTAATGTATTTGGTCTTGGCGGAATAGATCTGCTACGCTGCTGCTG